TCTGTTAAATGAGACCTGGTGGGCATGCACAGGATGACAGACAGGAAAGGAGCGGACCTCTTTCCATATTTATTATGTTCTAGTGCACCTATCATACACCTAGCGCTTGTTCATTCTCACTTTATTCCTCTTCATATATATTGGACTCCTGTGTTTACAAAACTATCATATAGCAAGGGATTTACATACAGAATTGGTATTATGCACATCAAACCATTTCTGCCAGCTACCCAAGGCAGACACAGTATCACACTGCCTTCTCTTGAGCTCATTTATCTTTTTTCACAGCTTAGTACTATTCTATCTAAATTTGGAAGGCAGTTTTGCAACCCTTGCATGGAATAACCCTTGTTCTGGCCAATAGACCCAAAACCCACAAGCAGGAATTGTAGAACCACAGAGCTAGAAGAGACCTCAAGAGGTCATAGAGTCCCTTCCCCTACCCTATGATCAGACCTCCCCTTCTGGGTTGATGCTCATCCACCTACAGATCTCCATTGTCAGAGATTTACCACTTCCCACAGCAAAGTTCCCTATGGTTCCCTATTTCTACCTGATAATGTTTTCCTTAAAATTAACCATTAATCTTCCTTAATTAAAATCAAGTCTGTTGTCTTTTATGCTTTCCACTGCAGTCACAGAAAACAGATTATCACCTTTCATTTGTCTCTTCTCAAGGCTTAAAACAATTCATAATTCTTTAACTTTTTTCATCTCATCTCATTATTCTTTTTCGCCTCCTCTAGATCTTCTCCAATTGGTTTATATTTGCAAGTAAGCTGCCCTAACAGTTGTCCTGCTGGTTGGTGTCTTACCATTGATGAGCTGAGTGGAAGTGCTGCTGTACGTCTAAGAGCCTACCCTTCTGGTCATGCTTTCAGGAAGGGTGCTTCCCTTTTCACAATACTGTGACACTCTTGACTCACACTCAGCTTGTGACACCCTAGATTTGTTTCTGTTGAATTTGCTACTTAGCAAGCTCTCCCTTCTTGTCTTTCTGCAGCTATATATTTCCGTCCAAATGTTTCATCTTGCACTGGTCCCTATTTCTCTTCATTTTCCATGGTTTATGAAATTTTTTCAAGATCATCTTTAATTCTAAGCTTCTCCCCTCTATATCGGCATTCCTTACAAATGCAATACGAATGCCTTTCTATTTATGCTGTTCTATTATTCTAGGTAACAAACATGAACAAAAGGCTTGATTCTGTATCTCTTATATTAAGCAATGTTGTCTGCTAACTTTACATACAAAGGATTATTCATACAGCTAAACAGAAGTGAACTTGAGCTAAGACTGAAAAATGCGGTCCTTAGAGTGCAGATGTATTAGTAACACAGACTGTTACAGGTACTTGTCCCAGCAGGAGAGTAATAAACAAGAATGTGCAGTTAAAGTCCATTTGGAAAGAATGTTCAATAGGTACAGCAGTTTTCATGCCACCAATTTTCTTCCTATCAATGACAGCAGTTACATTCACCACAGGAAACCCACTAAAATCTGCCACAATATATGCTTTATGATTCTGGATTTAGAACATTTTGGAATACTTTCTCCTGATCGTTTTTTTTTTTTTTTTAATCCTGTGCACAGATATATAGATAGATCTAATGTCCCTTGTTTCTAGTTTTAGCCCGTATTCATTGAGATTCTTACATAAATGAAGCCGAACACACATGGACATTTTACTGTTAGATACTTCAGTGATCAAAGCAGTTAGGATCTGCACGCCTACAGAAAATTTGGGGGCTGTTTTGAACTAGAATGTAAAACCTGTTATAACAGATCTCAAACTGAAGTCCAGTCAAGCACCACATCTAACGGTGTGTAACACTAGATAACTGGGGAAAAAGGGTAAGAAATAAGAAATGCGTGGGTGCCTCTTCTAATACCTTCCCCACATCTAACAACGGCCTAAGTATTTTCTGAGCTAGCATTTTTAGCATCTGGGTCATTGTATGCACAAGCTTCTATTTGGTTAATTTCAACTGCTATTATTTTGATTAATTTTGGTATTGTTTAAACTGAAATAGAGAGCATAAAACCCCTAGAACCACAAATTGCATACAGTGCCATAGCTCTACTGACATTCATCTCATAATGCCAATATGCACCAATCAATTATTTGACCTAAAATATTTTGGAAAGAACTGCCTGAAACTATCATGTGAAAACTAAAAGGACAAAAGAAATGATGGTAAAATTAAATTATTCACGTTTCCATGGGGACAATGGGAAAAAAAAATAAAAAATAAAAAAAGAAAAAAAAAAAAAAGGACGGTCTTTAAAGGATTAGAATAAATCAGCTACTGCAATCAAATCTGCAAATGCAGCAAATCGAAAGATGATTGCCAGTGCTGCTGAAGCTATGCTAGGTCAAAATTTTAATGAAGTTCTTCTAAAAATGTATAAGCAGTAATTGCATGATTGAACTGAAAATCTGAGAAACAGGGTTAAACAGGAAATTAAGATGGAAGTTACAGTTATGATTGCTGAAACATTAGCTCAAACATTTCTAAGCTGCTCACTGAAGAAAAAGATATAATGCATTTTCCACATTGGGGCAGATTTTCTCAGATCAGTTGTTGTGTGTTTAAAGATGAAAGATAACGCGCATCAAGCAGTATGTATATGTAGGGAGATCAGGAAGGGACAATGCCCTACTTCTAACTCAAGAGCTCTTTTATCATTCATGAATTTGATGTGCTTGCCCTTTTAAACTGCCTCCACTGTCCCACCACAAACATACCAAGTGTGAAACACTCGGTTTATTGGCCTTACTATAACTTATACTCTGAAGCTTTGCACGTGCAGAGTATCAGACATTAAATTCCAAGGACTGAGGCCACTTGTATTCGTGTCTATTGAAATGGAAAGAACATAAAATAATATCTCACTGGAAAACTCATTTTAGCTGGCCATTCCATTTGTAAATGTTATCTTCAAGCAGAGGGATTTCTCCCATGACAGTTACCCTATTTTTCTCAGAGGAAAAAAAAAAAAAATAGACATTTACCCATTTTATTGCACAGTATGTTAAACAAATTCTGTAACTTAAGGGACACACATGCAGCCTAATCAAAATTCAAAAGCACCCCAAACATTCACGAGCACCCTATGCAGATATGAAAAGTACAGCCTCAGAAAATGTCACTTATAGAACTTGCAAAAACATAAAAATTACATTTTTTTAGGTAGTCTGACCATTTTTTATACCATGACGACTGTAGTTCATGCTGTAGAGAATGAATATAAGCCATACTGGTGATATTTTACAATAGCTATTGAAAGAAATAGGGGGAAAGATGAGGATACAGAACAAGGAATCAAGACACCTCAGCTGTTTTATTTGCCTTACTGCTTTGTGCATGACATAAGTAGAGACTTTGATTTCAGTGACTCAGTTTTCCCACCTGTAAAATGAGGATAACATATCTACACGTCTCGCAGGGTAATGCTGCAATTTAATTTCACTGTGTGTATAAAGCTCATTTAGTTTGCTAAGTGGTAAATGTTATATAAATGCAAGGTATTATTATTACACATATTACAAACACAAATTTGGGAAATTTGGCACAGAATGTTTTGGTTTTATCTCCTTTAGCTGCCCTTTTGTTTTAAATAATAATCATCATTGGTATTCTATAACATTGAGAGGAAACAACAGACAAAGGATTCTCTGTACACACATGCTGAAGTGGGGGAAGCCAATATAACAAACAAGAAACAAAGAACAGGGCAAGTCTGTAGTCTGAAAAAGCAAGTTAAAATGGAGCCCTGCACTAAATTTTTGTAAGGTTCCTTTTTACTCTCTTGAAATACCACATGCATGATCTTACAGCTACTTTTTCCACATTCTTCCCATTTATGGGATAATGCTGTGGCCCTCTGGCAGGTAAACTTTCCATTTGTGATTTCAAAGGGAGCTTTCAGCATAAGGTCCAAAGAAACTAACCTTTAATAGAGCCACTGATGTTGTTTTATCCTTGCTCTTCCAAGAGCATAAACCTAGAGGCAATTCAAGAAGGAACCGCTCCAGAATTCATTGATAACCAAGGCAGCAAAGTAACAAGAGACAAATTCAAATTGTCATAGAACAATAATGTCTGGGAATTTCATGTATGTATGTATGTATTTATTTATTTATTTATTTTTGTGAAAGCCTTGACCACCTCACCCTTAACCCCATTCTTCTTTTGGAAATGTGTAGAGAAACAGTGGTGCTCGAAACACAGGACTCAATCCCCAGCACAATCGCAAGCCATTGTGCGCTGAGTTACAAATTGGGTGTAACCCAGCTCATGCATTTGTGGCTGCTTGCTTCGTTTGAATTCAATGAATCTGAATTTCCATGGGACTGATAAATCCCAGGACGTGCTTCACCTTTATATATGGGGACAACCAAGTTTAGGGAATCAGCCACAGCATACAGCAGTGTCTGACAGCATCGGCAGCTACAGCCCCTACTAGCTCATCCAGTTGTGGAAGTCTTCTAGAGCTTCAAGCCCACTCGGCATTTGTCACAGCAAGGGCACTCCTCTAAACTATCTCAACTTCTCAGCCACCCAAGCTGAGACTAGAACTGGGTGCACCCCCTGAAAATTCACCTGCTTCTGCTTCCCCTGAGCCCCTCTACCAGACTACAGAGTGTTTGTAATGAGTCCTTATCCTGGACATCTGGACATCTGGCCGAGTTTATTTCTTTGAGTGCTATTTGCGGGCAATTTATCACCACTAACAGCAGGAAAACTTTTGCAGTTGCTGCAGGGCCATGCAGGGCAGCGGGGTCCCCCCGGAGCGCGCCGGGGGTGAAGCACCAGGTCTGGCCCTGAGGGAAGCAGCTGGGGGCGGCCATTTCTCGCCGGGCCTCGCCGTCCATTTCGACTCGCTACGCCCCCGGCAGGGAAGCGCCGCCCTGCCCGAGCGGCCGGAGGTGCGAGGGGCCGGCGCCGGGCGGCGTGGCGGCTCGGTGAAGCCCTGCCCGGCCCAGGCCCAGCCCCGCGGCGGCGCTGCCGGGCGGTGCGGAGCCTGCGCACTGCGCTGTGGCGGCCCCCTCCTGCCCGGCCGGCGGAGCCGCGAGTCCCGGCGCTGAAGATGGCGGAGGGCGGCGGCGGTGGTGGTGGAGCGGCGGCGGCGCCCCCCCCCTCCTGCTCTTCCTCCTCCTCCTCCTCCTCCTTGAAGGGGCTGCGGGAGCAGATGGGTGAGAGCGGCCGGGAGGGGAAGGGCGGCTGCGGATGGGCTGGGGGAGGGTGAGGGCACGGGCAGCCGCCGCCACCGGGCTCCCCCCCCCGCCTCCAAGTCCCTTTCGGGGCCGGGGAGCGGAGCCTGGGGCCGCCGGGGCTTTGTGTCCGGGCTGCGCTCCCGGGGGCGGTCAGGCCTGCAGCCCCCGCAGGGGTTTGCTTTGGTCCCGGCGAGGCGCCCTGTGACTGCAGAGGGAAAGGGACAGGATGTGGCATCGCTTCCGAATCAAAGATTTGATAATAACTTTTTTTTTTTTAACTGGTGTCTTAAGAGACCCAAGGAAACTCTGCTTTACGTTTGTCCTGCGGTGCATTTATGTGCCTATTTGTGCAGAAGACCCCTGGTAATTTGCACTCTCTGCAATGTGTTGTGCACGCATGATGAGTGTCCCAAACATAATTTCATGGCACAGCTGCACACATCAGCTCTGTGGGTGAGCCATTGTAAAAGATAAATATTTTCTTAGCCCAGACTAAAAAAAAAAGTAAGGACACAGAATCATGGATTTTGATTTGATCTAAACTAACCTGGACTATGTACAAAAAAACTACTGCGGCAACCTACCACTTAATTGTTTTCAGTGCATCTGTGTAATTACATAAAGAAGAGCGCTGGCAAAAGGTCCTGAATGCTCAATTCATTTCTGGCAGTCTTTCTTCTTCACTGTGTTCTGTATCAGAAATATTTTTTTCTCTCTTTTGAAATTAAGACAATCTAATGTTTGAGAAAGATAACAGCCTGCCAAAAGATAGCACCTCTCACCTGCACAGGCCATGTCTATTTGATCCTTATCCTCACTGCTAGAACTGCAGAATTTCCTTTTGCGCATTGGATGCTCTTATACTGTAGATCCTACATTTTTCTCTGGCAGAGGGCACCCATGTTTGCTGACAGCTGTCATGGCCTAGATTTAGTCCCAAAAAAAGAGGTGAAATGTTCTGTGAACCAGTCAGCTTCTTCTCTCTAACTACACACATGTTCTAATGTGCACATTGTGTTGAAAAAAAAAAAACACCCTCACTAGATCCTAGAAAGGATAGACCTTGAGGTTTTTTTCCCGAGGCGACAGAAGTCACTGAACCAGAATCTAAACTTCAGTTTATATAGAAGGGATTTCTACCACTTACGTGTTGGAAGATGAGCTCATTGCTAATCTGAACTGAAGCAATGCTGTCTGTGAGTGTACAGTTCTGTTCCTAACTTCTCCTTCGCTATCTGGAGAAAGCAAATAATGTTTAGAAATCATCCTCACAATCCAGTGTTTTAACAATGGAATTTGTGAGATAATTGCCACTGTATTTGCTGCTGTTTGGCAGAGTTGTGAGCAGTAACTAAGTGATAGAGCAGCTGTTTGGGGAAGATCTGTTTAAAAAAAAAAAAAAAAGCATGAGGAACCTTGTTCTGTCCCACGCTGCTGTTTGTCAGGTTTGGAGATGTGGGGAGAAGGACATAACATTTTGCTTCTGTAAGGTCAGATGGCTGAGCAGGGACCTTCTCAATTCCAAAATACCTGCTAGCCAGAATTCTAACACCCAGCCTCTGCTGGGCTGTGGACAATTACGTACTTTGCTGTCTTAATCTGCAGATCAAACATCTCTGCAAACAAATACAGTGCTGCAAGTACATTCAGTCCTTTGCCTTTGAACTTCTGGTTGGGAATCTCATGTTTAAGGCCAATAAATATAAGCGGGCAGCATCTTGCTGAGAAACTATGTCTCCTTCTGGTATATGTGTGTATATATATGTATGTGTATGTATACATGCATATCTATGTATATATACACATACACCTTTTGTGAAGTTATCTTTTGTGTAGGTTCCTTTTGTAGGTCTTTAGTACAAGATGCTGCCAGGTCCTTGTTCCCTGCCTCTGCTTTCTGCTACCAGCCTTTTGATACTGGTTTGATTTTCAGCTGAGTGGTACTGGTTAGTTACTTTAGTCCTTGAAAATGTAGAATCCCAGGGTGCCACTAACTTCCTTATCTATGTGGTAAGGTTAAAGAGAATCTTTTTCTTGCAATTCAAGCTGGTATTGAGATAAGGAAAAGGTGTTTCTTTTTCTTTGAGTATCAGTTGTAATTAAGAATCTGCGCGCCAAATCATGCTTGCTGTATCAATTCTACAACTCCTTTGCAGTATTTTTCTGCCCTTCACACCTGTCCAGTCTTATTTCCTTTAAGAAGGTGACAAAAAGCAGAATTTGCTTCTACAACTAAAAGCTATTGAACGTTGCAAGCAGCGATGCATGAACAGGCAACTTTCATTACATTTGAATTGTGATTATACACTATGAAACAGCAGCATGTAAATGGCAGATTGTTTCTCTGTTCTTGTGATCCACGCTGGCTGTTGTCACCCGTCAGGGACAAAGAAGATTTTTTGCTCAGATTCTAATACCGTAAGCACTGCTGAGGCTCATAAACACTGAAGAAGTGGGGGATAGTGAATTACTTCATAGGTTACCCAGTAAGTGAGGGGTTTTGAGTGGTATGGGTAAGCAGAATTTTTAAAATACATTTTTAAGCTGTTGTAGTCTGCATTTATTTTATTGTTTAACCTTCATTTTCACTGAAATACAAAGATCTCATCTTGTCTTTCGTAGCATCAGCGACAGGGGATGTGTCTTTACTTTTGCCAGAGCTTGGATACGCAGTTGCTAGGATTTCCAATTGTATTTTGAGTTATTGTAGTGAAGGTGCTTCAAAACATGCACTTTGTATATTAAAATGCTATATGTAAATTTTCTCTTCCAAGGCCTACACAGTCTTTTCGGGAAACCTGTTGCATGACATGGGGCAAAACTAAAGAGCCTTTTTTCTTTGGCCTTTTCGACAAATCTAGCTGCAGGCACAATTCCCATTGCCTACATGGCCAAGCCCAGTTTGGTCAGTTGTCTACTAAAGCAACAGCTCCAGTCAATCCAATTGTTTGTTCTGCTCTGGTTAAGTGACTGTCTGCCTTTGTCCGTTTTGCCTGGAATGCAGCTCCTGGTAACTTCTTTACCAAACACCTATATACAGAATTTACGTTAAAAGAAGTCTAAATGGGTAACTAATAGGGAAAATTAATTGTTCAAGCAAGTATTGAGGAACATGTGCAAATTTGTCTGGTCTCCAGGTAATAGACATCTAATAAAACGTGACTTTAGTGCACAAGTTCATAGCAACAGCTATGGAGGTACTAGAGTAATGATGTGTAGAGAAAACACTTTGGGACCCAGCAGCCTCATCAGACAACTGATGATTTGATCTCTGCACCAGAGCTTCTGGCTGGAAGAGAGGAAGAACTAACATTCAAATTTGGCTCTTCAAAAGCCTTTCAGTTTTACAGAGTGGTTGCAACTAGAGGCGGTCTTCAGAATTTTTCTGGGAAACTGTAAGATGAAGAATCTGCCTTTGTTAAGTACCTGATAGCATGGAGGTGGTACAGTAAAAAGCATCTTCAGTATTCAGTTGTCTAAGTTGGTAGTGTTTGTACAGATGGCTCACGTGTTTTCCATTTGTGGAGCAAAGGCGGCCTGGTGACTGGGGCATTAAAGTGGCATTTGGTAGATCTGAGTTCAGCTTCTTGTGTTCTCAAACTCCTCATGGCTTTGGAGAAGGCCTTTAAGGTTCTCCTGTGCTTCATCTTATTATGCTTATACATAAAGCAAAAAGAAAAAAAAAAGTCTCAAAACTATATGCCTATACAACATATTTTGGGAAATTTCTTATTCACAATGTTCCATTTCCTGATTTCCTACTTGTTTTTTTAATGCATTAACATTACAAAAGATACATTTGTATTCCATGCTTCAACTGAGATGAAAGTATTGAACAAATAATGACTTGCAAGGATCACAGCTGTAATGGTGGAAGCCCAGAGATTCAGTCATTTTTACTGTCCTTAACTGTAGACATCCTTAAAACATGATTGGAATCAAGGACTGCTTTTTCTTTATACGCTTGTCTTTTAAAATAAGAAAATGGATAGCAATATTTAAATTACTGATATGTTGTTATTGATTCTCAGTTCTTAAAAGCAATAAGACAGTTAAGCAGAAAAGTGAGGAAAATGGAAGAAATATTCTGGGATAGTCATAGAAGTAGTGAATTCTGATATCTTTATGTAAACATGATTAAATAATCAAAGATACTAACAGCCCCATTGTGAAAGGACATCCTGACAAATAAAATTCTGAGCATGCAATTCTAATGACTTCTCTGAATATGACTTACCAGATGACTTGGGATGCTTTAAAAACAAACTAGGGACGACAAATTCCTGTCAACCACAAATGAATTGGAACCATTTAGCTTCTAATTATGCAGCTTACAACCAGGTAGTTCTTAATTGATGATATGCTTTTGATACGTTTGCACATGCCTGTCCAATAATTAAAACTTTTAGATGTAAATGATTAACTTGCTAGCAGTGTAGGATTCGTGGAAGAAGACCACATGGTGCTCGATGTGTTTTCATTTGAAGGAGAATCAGTAGCTGCCATGCCTAATGCCTCTGCAGTCCACAGAGCGTGGCTGTTCACAGCATACAAAAATGGACACAAGCATTTGCTCATGAGGAACGCTGCTCTAGATGCTTGACATTTGTTTTCTTTTAAATTATTTTCATTTTCTGGTCAGTTTTAAACTTCTGCCTTGCAGGTGAAGGAGCCCACAGTTATAGTTGCCTTTGACAAAAATCGTTACCATTGATAGTGTTCAGAATACCTCTTCCTTTCCTCTGTTTTCTGTCTTCATAATTCACAGGGGACTTCTAAAGTACTGTTTTATGAGTATTTAGCTGGCTCTTAATTCACTGACACCCTCTGCTGTTTAAATGCACCGACCCGAATCCTGGAAGGGAGAAAAGATACTGCTGTGGCTTTTGAATAGCCTTCTCTGAGCAAGAGGTTTAATGTTTTTTAGTGTTAAAATCCTCCCAAATCAGAGGGGGGTTGGCTCCAAGAATATAGAAATT